ATGTGCTGGCTAACACGTGTCTGTCAAACTGCGATGACTGCGGGAAAGACACCAGCGGACTGGAGAGCGGTAGTTATTGTGCCCGTATTCAAGAAGGGAGACCACAAGGAATGCTCCAATTATAGGGCATAACGTTATTGAGCTTCTCAGGTAAAGTCTACGCCTAGGTGCCAGAAACGAGGTGCCGTGAAATAGTTGACCTCAAGATCCAAGAAGAGCAGTGTAGCTTCAGGCCCGGTCGAAACTTTCTGACCATATATTTGCCCTGCGCCAGATTGTTGAGAAATCGTGAAAGTAGGCCCATCTGGCGTAGATGTGTTTTGTGGACCGAGATAAAGCGTATGACCGGATGCCACGCAACAGTCTGTGGACATGCCCTCGTGCATATGAGATAGATGACCAGCTGCTACGGGTTATCCAATCACTGTATTCTGATAGCAGGTGCTGCGTCAGAGTTAATGGCATTAAGTCGAAACCATTCAACGTTCGCACTGGTCTCCTCCAAAGCTGCGTCCTGCCCCTTATTCTCTGTTATAAATGGATTGAATAGTCAGGAGCTGGGCGATGAGTGTATCTGTGTAGGAGATGTGAAAATGAGAAGATTGCTGTTTGCAGGAAACCTTGTTTTATTAGCATCTTCTGAAACTGATCTTCAGTGCTCTCTGGAAAGGTTAGCAGCTAGATGCGACGCGACAGGCATGCGTGTGAACGTATCTAAAGCGAAAAGCCTAGTGCTCTGTCGTTCTCCTGCCCGTTTCTCTCTTCAAATTAAAGGAGAGGCAGTGGAGCAGGTGGAGAAGTTCAAGTACCTCGGAACTATATTTACAAGTGATGGAAAATTCAGTGAAGACATCGACTGGCAAATTAAAGTAGCCAGTGGCGTTCTGCACGAACTTGCCCGATCCATTGTGACTGAAGCAGAGCTCAGTTTGAAAGCTAAGCTCTCAATGTTCAAGTCGATCTTTATGCCCATACTTACCTATGGTCATGAATCGTGGACCATCACTGAAAAACTTCAAACCTTGGTACAAGCTGTGAAATGGGCTTTCTTAGACGAGTCGCCGGCTTTACTCGTCTCGGCATGGTCCGGAATAGTGATATCCGCAAGTGCTTTGGAATACAGCCTTTGCTTCTCCAGGTTGAGAAGTCACAGCTGCGATGGCCCGCATATGTATTGCGAACGCCTCCAGAAAGGAAGGCTAAGCAACTGTTTGTTGCAAATCTGACCGGCAAAAGGCACACGAGACGGCCAAGATTAACCTTGTGCAAACATATGGAAGGAGTCTGTTCCAGACTCCATTTTTCTTTTGCAGAAGCTCAGATGTTGGCGCAGAATCGGTACGTTGGAAGCTAAGTCTGATGCATTTGCCTCCGCGACCCGAAAGGAGAAGCGGCGATGGGCGGTGAAGATTTTATTCTGTGTGGACTCCGATTGATGTGGTGCACATATCATCCATTTTGATCTGGATTGGCCGTACTTTTCAAAATTGAATATGCTCTAAGAAACATCACGAATCCCGCATAAGAAGGAAGCTCGTCGTACAAAAATGGGAGGAACCCTGCACCAGGTTTGACGTTATTTAGAAATATTTCACTTGATTTACATGATCATGGAGCATTTCCGTTCAGATTCAACAGTGGTTTCACAGTTCCTTTTCTGAACTAAACAATTCAAACTGTTAATGCACTGAAATGTTAAGTATTCAGGACGACATGCGGTCATGTAAAGGTTCTGTGATCGTGCAGCATTTCCGCGCCACCAGCCCATTCTGGTACGACGAGTCCACAAGCTCTGCATGCTCGGGAATTTGCGCTAAACGCACAGTTTAGCACGTCGGAAATTACAGGCCAAGATTTTTAATAATGTCGCGGCACTACTATGTCGCAAGTCTACCATTTCAACTATCCGGGTTAGTTTATCGCAGATAATAACAATCACGAACATTGCAACAAACTAAGACAGCAATTTCCAATTAGCTGCATAACTCAATTGTATGGAAACAATAGTGTAGAGATTATTACCGCCTATACGTGCAATGTGTCACAAAATGTTGCGAAATACCTACATATTAGTATACACAGAGTAATCCACTCCATCATGCGAAAGGCTCTCCATCGATCCTTGTTAAGCACGTAATGAAGACGACACCATGATAACAATTGCAGGCAAAGATAATAGTTGCCAACAAATAAATTCACAAGGTTTCAACATATTGATGCGATATTTTTTGTGGCTACGCTAATACGCCCAATCCTGCGAAAGGGTTTACATACAGTGCACTTCGCTGACGGCCACTTGTGTGCTGCAGCGCTCTCGATTTGTTTGAGAGCGGATGGCCGAATCATACAGCCAGAGATTCTGAAATTGATTGGCTCAAAATCGGACACACTATTACAGCGCAAATAATCGGTTATAACAATCGTGGCAAATTCGACGATTTCAGTCTGTCTTCTACGCAAATCACTTTATTTATTTAACTTTACCATCGCACATACAGTAGGCAAAAGAGTCAGTAACGGTGAACAAAATTCGCATGATTGGTAGATTAAAATTTTTAGGACACGGTTAGGCGCTTCGAATAAGGCGCTCTTATAAAGAAAAATTTCGGGACTTAAAAAAATGTTCCTTAGTGCAAAATGTGGCATACAGTCATGATATAAAAGTCATAGAGAACGCGACGGTTTCAGGTATAGTGCATTTTGTGCTGAAGAAGGAACACTGCTCCGGGTTCCAAAACCATCATTTATTCAAGTGTTTTTATTCCAAACTTTTATTTGTCTTAACTTAATTTATTGCCCTAAGAGTCTGCGTATGTATCCTAAAAGTTTACTCATGTAATTGTATTTTTCTCCCTTTGAATGAACCTGGGATATTTTTCTTGAACAAAATACATGCTTAATTTATCTTTTTTCGCTCCCTTCAAACCGCAAAGGAAGACAGTGCTGCAGCGACACCATAAGTCGGCATATACGTGAAATCGTTTCTTCCGCATTAGCCTTTAATGCACTTCCGAGATAGTGCGAAGCCACTTGACGGATGCCTCTGAAGCAGTTGATACAACAGATAGTACAATTAACAGTCATTTTTCGTTGACTACAGGCAAATCCGTGACAATGTACTGTCGGACCATGCTGCTGCCAATTGCTAAATGTTATGATAGAGTGTATATTATATATGATATGCTTTTCTCTGAGCCGAAAAACGCTTGAAAATTTACGGGTCGGCTAAAAGGAATAAATATGACTGACTGAACATTTTTGTTTGTTACAGACTATAAACAATGTGACACCTCAGCAAACTATGTAGCACTTTATTCTGAGCTTTGCGACAACACCAAGACATTGCGATGTACTCAATTTTATTCACTACATTTTTGGACATACTCGATAACTTGTAGACATTCCATTTAAAACGAATTAACACACGTCAGGTCTTTACCGCATCCCTTTCTATAAAGTTTTCCTGCATAAAATCCGTGTATATGTACCTGCGTAATATCCAGTGAAGAATTACTGTATTTGGATATTTTCCGGTAGTGCGTTGTATCAGTTATATGTTTCTCTTGTCATTGCAGTTACTTTAAATGAATGTTTAAATGTTACAGCCTATTTAATGTGGCGACGATAAAACGTTTCTGGAATTGAAAAAGTTTGTTTAGTAGCGAGTTTTGTAAGCTGTTGTTAGTTTGTTGTTTGATCAATAACGCCGTTTCAGTCTGTATTGTATCATGGACGAAAAGCAGCTTGATACTTCAAGCAGTTCAATTTCAATAAAAGTAAAGGGTACACGCGAAACATACCAGCTGACGATACCGGAAAACTCTACAGTGAAAGATGTACGTTACAATTATTATATCGTTTGATTTGTATCTTAGGTTCTTAATAACTACAGGTCAAAGAAGAGCTTGTTGCCAAGGTGGACGCACCGGTAGAAAGACTGTGCTTGATATTTTCTGGCAGGATCCTCAAAGACAACGAAACTCTTAAACAGCAAGGTGAGTAAAAATAATAATATTGCGATTCAGTGGTTGCACGAAAGGAATTGAAAGGTCCTGAAACGTGTTAACGGTATGAAATCGTATATACATGGGTGTGTCCTGTCAGCCACAAGCCAAAAATCTAAGCGGTGGGTGTTTAAGAAACTTGGCACAGAACAACGTGACAGTAAATGGTAGTTATGCTGATCAAATATCCTCACGGTTGACGGTGGCCGTCTGTTTCCCGATTTTATTAGAATAGTAAGACGAAGCGCCTGAATATGTAAACACAGCAGCGTATAGCAGACAGAAATACTCTGTAGGTTCTTATAGTTATTAAGCTTCTAACCTTGTCTGAGGTTACTTCATGGCAGTGCATCATTGAGAGCCGTTATATTTTGAAAAACTTTCGTTCCTCTGTATTGCCTTATTTCATGAATTGTAAGAATATTACAAGTATATATAGTATCATTGTTTATGCAGATAGGTAGTTCTTCATCACACTGCTGTTTTCTTGCTAGTTTATTATGTTGTAATCTATATGGCCCATAAATATGAAGCATCTGGCAACCTTTGTATATAATTGCTGTACGGTCTAGTCTATTTGAAGGCAACCGTGATGAAAAATTTCATGAATTTGTGTTTAGTTGTTTATTGCTGTGGAAGTAAAGACGTCTGAAACTTCCCATTTTATCACTATTCGTTCTTCGATACACGAGTTTCGCTCACTATTTACAGAAGGCAAATCAAAACTCACACTTGTGAATGGGATGAAGGTAGAGTGGCTGAAAGGTCGGTTTTGAACTTTGGAGTTGTCGGATTCGAATCCTCTTAAGGTACAGTGTCTTGACCGCATTTCCATTGAGCAAGGAAGTAACCCAGCGTTGCTTCGGTACAACCAGCTGAGAAACGGGTATTAAGTCGGTGACTTGCAAGGTGTACTGTCATGCTGCTGATGTGAGCGTCCCTTATAGCTGTAGTTCGTTTTGACAGAAGTGATAGCTGGCTATCCAGTGCAATACTCAGCAGAAATTTCCACGAGAACATGGTATTCTGCTCTGGTTATACCAGAATAGATGAGGTTTACGACTGTGCTGTTCAGTGCGTGCCACTTATTATCTGGTGTAATAATGAGCACAGAGTTTACCCCTGATTTTGATTTTTTATGCATAAGGAGTATGGTGTGACGTAGCGAAGGGAACCAGTTTATTAATGCCAACTTGCCATATTTTGATCTCTTGGTCATGCATTTTGTTGGTACACGACTTCATAACAAACAACTGTTCAACCGGCCTTTTAAAGTCATTATTGTCACTTTGAAATAACTAACCAAAGTAGTAAATCAGTGATTTAAGGGTATTATATAATAGCAGATGCTACTCTTCACGATGATGCGATGATGAGGCGCCCTCAGTCTCTGTAGTGATTGCAAGTGTAAACGCTTCATAGTGTTTAGCAAAGTATCAAACAATGACGATATGTTCGCAACTATGGGAGATTTGCAAAATACGTGATGTTTTCGCTTACTAGAAAGAAATTGATAATAAAAAGAAGAAACAAGCTGTTCTGTAAAAACTTGATATTTTCCTGAAGAAGCAAGCGCCTGTTTCTGAACCATCAACAAGTGTCGATGATTTAATGCCTTATACGAGGCTAGCGAACGTGGATTGTCAAAATAAAAAGAAATTGAATATCCTTTCGTTCTAACCTCTTTCCCAGCATGATCTTCCACCAATTAGTGTTAACTTTTCAATTACTTGTTTTTAGTTAGTTTCAGTAATAATACGTTTATTTACTTATTAAATAACATAAGTTATTTATGTCATGTTCATATTCTCTTTACAGTATTTTCAACTTACGATGAATTCATTGGAACGTAACCTCGGCGTAAGTCGAGGAGCATCTGTAGTCCCTACTTGGACGGATTCTTGCGCTCAGAAGATACTTCATATTTTATTTCATCGTTAGCCTGTGGGTCCCTTTTTCAGTCCGTCTGCAAAAGTTTTGAATTATTTATATGGTTCATTACTTCATTTGTAAAACGGGTAATATCTGTCTAATATCACGAATTCGGTAACCAATAACTTCCTGATTTTGATGATTAAGAGACCGCCTTGAACAACCTGGCTCGTTCACCTGCTTTACGCTTTGACATTGAGTTGCCGTGATAGTTGCCTGCCTCCAAGCTATAGTGTTGTTTGTTGTACTTACTCTAGTTGGTAGAGTTTTCCGCGGGACTGTGTGTGTTACATGGCGGGAGGCAGCGTTGTTCATGGGGGTTCAGTGAAACTTTGTGTAGGAAGAAGTAAATCGTCTTTCCGTTTATTTTGTTGTTTGCATTTTAGTCACCGTCTAGAAACCTGTCTTTCTGTGCATCATTTTTTTTACTCATGCAGTGTAAAAAACACGGCACAGAAACAACACAGTTAGGTAATCATTTACGTGACAGACCAATACCGACGTTTCGGACCGTTCCTCATGAGCCCCTCTTTAGGTGAAATAGGCGGCAGTGTACGTAGGGGTGGCGGTCATGAGAGGCAAGTTGTTCGTTTGTTACAGAGAGTCAGGCTTTCGCGTCTTGCTACCGCTTTAATAGTTTCATGGCGACAGGCGCGAGGAGGCTCGTACAATCTGCACACAGTTTCTATCATTTGCCATGTTTAAGATATCGAACACTGATCTTCTATCTGACCCCTTCTTTCTGTCTCTCGCTGCGTGTTTCAGACGTCTCTTCGCCTCAGATCTTACGTTGATAGGAAACAGCTGGTTTTTCCAATATGTTTAGTTTGCACGTGCCGTTCAGATTTGTCCGGATATGCATCTTTTTCTCTTTTGCACGTGTTCTTCCGTCCTTTGCGTCGTTGATTTACCCGTTTCCCCTATGTAGTATTCTGAATGGTTAGTATTCTGAGTTCTATGAAGTATTAGGTTTCTTACTCTTTTTTATATTACGTTAATGTTGCATTTAGCATTTAGTGACCTTCGTAACTTTTCACTAAAGCGTCTATGACGAGCTTAAGTGAGGCTTATTCTTTAAGATGTTACCTTTGACATAACTATTATTACAGCTCAGCTTAATACTCGTGACTTTATGATTTATAGTATTATCAGCGAATTTAACGAGATAGTTTTTGTTGTTACATACGGTTAGTTTAACAAGTTTTTTATATTTCTTCATTAAGAAATTCGTCACTGCAAGGTTTGAAGCTCTGTCGGTTAAACCGTAATTATTGTAGTTAATGACGTAGAAGAGCTTATGCTGGGTGCTCGTAAATTGAGCGGTTATAAGTACCCTATAGCTTTTGTTTCCAGGTCATTGGTAGAAAAATTCCAAGTGCTGTTTTGGTTGAGTATGTGGTTTTAAAAGTGATACATTTTTATTGCAGAATTAGGTATATTGTTAATCCTACCATTCACCTACTTTTACCAGATTTACACGATGACAAGTGTATAGTCATTTACTTTACAGCAATATCGGGTCAGCATAAGGCGGATGAGTCTTTACGCTGGGTCACAGCATTACACCACTCCATTGCTTGTAGTCGCTTAGGGAACCATTTAAACAAGTCGCTGCACCGTGATATTTAATTGCCTTCAGTGCCTACACCGCATTACAGAGTTGGGTGGAACAGCAACATATTCGAGCACCTATCACAAAAGTGCCACCGTCCATTGGCAAATTTATAGTAAACAATATGTAGCCGCGATTGCATGGAGTATCTGCCAAGAATGG